AGTGTGAGTGAGCAGAGTTACTGGAGGAGAGGAGTTCACGAGGAATGACAACGCCCCAAAATCAGAGCGTGGCGAACTATTGTGGAGTGAATATTTGGCTTAACCCACTTGGCTGAGGGCCAACCTCCTGGCCATAGGACGAGGAGGCCAGGACCCCCCCGCAAGGTAACCAAGGGGCAGCTGCAGAGGTGGAGTTGGGATGGAGGTGGGATACAAAAGTCGCACGTGAGGGAGAGGGAGATATTGCATTTGGTATTTATAGCATTCGGTGGAGGAAGGACAAAGGGAGTGATTGCTAATCGCTGACAGCTGGGGATGATTGAGCGTGGTTGTTGTCATCCCTCCCGAACTTTAATTAAATAAACTCCATTGTGAGTGAGCAGAATTACTGTAGGAGAAGAGTGTGTGTGAGCAGAGTTACTGTAGGAGAAGATTGTGTGTGAGCAGAGTTACTGGAGGAGAAGAGTGTGAGTGAGCAGAGTTACCGGAGGAGGAGCAGAAGCACTCAGTTGGGACCGTGTGGAACAGCTAGAGGCGCTGATGGCATCAAGCAGTCTCATATTCTGATATAACTGAAAACTAGCTACTCCGGTCACTGTATCAAAATGGCTGCTGAAGAAAGGAAGAACAGACACAACAAAAAACACAGCTGCCCAGGCTGGCAAGATGAATTCAGTGAGCAACCAGCACACTCTTCCCTCTTTGCAATCCAGGTCAGAGGAGAGACACTCGATAAAAAGTAAAAGAGTTTACAGGCAGAGGTTGAAGACACTGTGTTGAGCACTGCCCTCTGCTGGATGATGATGATAATATCTGCAGTGCTACATATCTGAACATGATTTATAACCAATAACAAAACACTCTATTACCGTATTCTGCTGATGATGTAAGTACAGATCTGTAACTTAGATCTTTTAACTACCAGCAACACACGAGGATAAATACATTCTATAACACAAATACAACACACTTCTTGGGATTTAGAGTAATAATGCATGAAAATACAGAATCATTTTTCTCTGGATCACCAAGCTTGGAATGTCCAAGTAGGCCAGGCCTGGCCCTGAGTATAGGTGAACTAGGTGACTGCCTAGGGCCCTGAGCCTGCCAGGGTGCCCCCTCAATTTGCAACATGACATTTTCTTTAATTGGTATGTTCAAATGTTATGTTATGCATTAAAAATTGTTCTCTTGCAAACACCACTTTCCTCATTGTACAACACACAGTAAAAAACTGCACCAGTCACAAGAAATCTCAGCCTTTCACATAGTCTGGGTTTTTTTAACACTGAGCTGCACAAGCTGTCAAGTCCCTGCATGTTAACCATGCAGGGACTTGACAGATTGTAAATGTAAAGTATACCAGTTGGCTGAAACGGTATCTTTCAAAGAAAAATTATCTGCCAACTGTAAGGGGTGATCTCTAAACTTTCTCTCCACTCTCTCTCAGCTCTCATATCAGCTGGATCACTGATTGGTCTGTGAGACGAGCATTTAACCTCAGAGTCAGTTTAGGTTTAATTCAAACTGCCCCAGAGAAGGTTAAGAATAGAAGGTACTGTATTTTACGATAGTTACTTACCTGGATACAATTCAATCCTGCTTCATGAAACCAAAAACTTTTATCAACACATTTACACAAGCTGACTGGTTAATAGACTAATCTTACTCTGTGAAACAGCACCCAGCTTTTATTGGAATTCCTTCTGGTATTTGGACAATCTTGTCATGGTAATGTCTTAGTTGAAGGAAGAAATAGGTGAGTTAACATAGGTTTATCACCATGATTGTGATGATCAAACACTGTGAGCTTTAATTACAACTAACATATAATGAAACATTACAATTGACCTTTTACTTGTCTTACAAACTATGTATTTGTTGTAATAGTTTGAAATATAAAAATGAGCATCAATCATGCAGTGGGTCGACTACTATTATATGAAGATGTAATTTATGATTTTGCCTTCAGAAAACCTATGATTTAATTTATAGAACACTTTTTCATAAAACTTTGTCACCTGCTCAGCCTTACTGATCTCACCTCCCTCCCCTCACCTCATTATTGAGTGCACTTGTTTTTATTTTTTTTCTGCTTAATTTCATATTTACTGTATTTCTAAAATTAATTTCTATGAAGTTTCAGTGCAGTAATTTGTAAGTTATGATTTGCTATAAATTTGAAGTAAGAGAGATCCCGTTTATTATTGTTATAATTTTCCTTTCTAAGCTAAATTATGATATATTGGTAAAATGTTTGCTTCTTGTTTTTGTTTGTAAGGTATTCCTTACTTATCTCAAGATTGTCTATATAGTGTGATGTTAATATTTGTAAAATGTCCAATATATGTAGTACTAATAAAAATCTAAGATGATACAATTAATTCTTAGTATTGAAAAAGGCATTAACACATCAGTCATCCTTTGCCTTCACATTAGAAAACTTCATAATCCAGCCATAAAGACTCAGGTCTGTGTGAAAGCTTCTCAAACAGTGCCCTCTAATGCAGATTTGCAGGTCAGTGCCAGACTGGACTGCAATGAAAGGTCAAACTGTTTCATCACATGATCTTCAATTGCTGTGCAGCAGACATTATGACTGTGAGAGATACAATTAAATCTGATCCAGGTGAAGTGTAGCCAAGTCATTCTGTCTGGAAAAATTGGTATTGGCTTGTTCCGGTATTCCTCTGAATGCAGCAAATTTACTTGAGGTTGAACAAACTGATCTTTACCATTTATTAAGAAGATGGAGACTCCTGTCGGAACAATATTCCCCACCAGCCTGTGGGGAAAAACCTGCCCTCCTCAGTCACCCAAATTGCTGTGGCCTGTCCTATATTACAATTTAAACCCAGTGTGTTTACACTAGAAACACTCAGACACAAAGTGCTATCTGGGTTGATACTAGAAACACCCAGGTAAACACTGCACTCTGGGTTAAAAATCAGTCAGACGCATGCACAACTCTCTTGGTTTAAAGAAAAAAACACTTACATTTCAATTCAAGTAACTCTATTGGCTTGACTAAAGAATTTTATTGGTGCCAAAGAATAACTATTAACATCCATCAATGCGTTCTGTAACCTTTTATCCAGTACAGGTTTGCAGGGGAGTCAGATCCTTTTCTGGCAAGCAGGGCTCTGGCTTTCTGGGGGCCCTAGGCAGGATCTTTGAAAGGGGCCCTTCCAGATCACAATTTGCACATACACTGCTATTCAGCTCCCATTCCAAACATATTTTAGTATTTACAACAATTGAATAGAAAACCTTGTAAACCATCCTTAAGTAAAATATAATACATATGTTAAAAACAAGAACAAGAAGCACTAATTTCACAAAGTGAGGCTCCCGTTTTCTCCAGTCTTGCCAGTTTTTTCCTTCAGATGGAGGGAGGATTGGCCTTGGAATGACTGTGAATCCATTGCCTTTGGCCGTGGGAGAGGGCAGGAAGTGTAGATGGAGATCTAGTACCAGATCCAGTCTAAGTAGCTCTAGGAACTGACATGACCTGTTGACCTTTTCCACCTGACCAGTCCAGTGATCACTACAGGTGTTAGTGAGGTGAGGGTATGACACCAGGAGCTGGTAATCTGCAGACAGGGAGAATAGGGAAGATTCTTCAGAAATGCCTTGAACAGCAGGTAACATCAGGAGAGCCAACAGACAGACTGAGTGAGATTTGAAAAAAATGTGGACTGTATCAGTATGTTTTGTTTTGAAGCTGTTCACTCCTCAGCTTCCTGGCAGGGATATTGGGAACTGAAACAGCTCAGAGTGAAAAGGCTTGTTTTGTGTACTGTCCTGTCTTTATTTCCCCTACACTTATTGTTGATTTATTGCATCACTTTCTAAAGCCCCATCAACTTCATGGGTCCCCAACACCACTCTGCCCCCTGGTGTCTCACCTGTAAAGGAATAATAACTTTCAGGCTTAATAGGGATTGATTTTCTTTATTAACAGTTTGTTAATAAACAAACAGTTAACAGTTTGTTTGAATCTTGACTGTAACAACTCACAGTGTCCATGATTGATAAAGATATTAAGTAGAATGTTTAGTTTTGTTTTGTTTTTAAAATCCTCCTTGTTAAAGCTCTCATGCCAGAAGAGGTTGTAATTGAAAAGAAGAATCAATGAGGAATTAGTGCTGTGAGCAAACAGAATAGCTGGGTGAGTTAGAGCCAAGTCAACAATTTCTACAATAGTAGAATGAAAGGTGAAGTCTACAGCATGAAATACCTTTTTATTTCTGGGTTCCCCCTCTCTCTCAGTCTGAAACTAAAAAAGAAACCATTGAAGTGAACATTAATGATTACATAAACAAGATTTAATTTCAAGATAAACATTAACAATACAAAAATAAATTAAAATGAAGTTATATAAATTAAATACAACTAACTTAATGTCATTCATAGCGTTTGTGCGCAGCTGAGCTCCTCCACAGGCTGTGTCCTGTGTCTTTGCCTTCACCCTCAGCACCTGCAGTAGGTTCCAGCTGCAGCAGTGCAGTCCTGCTGAGGGAGGTTTTTGTATGGGTGTGTAACATTGTGTGAACAGCCAGTTACTGTTGAGGTAGTGTAAACCTGTACAGTAATAATCTGCTGCATCTTCAGCCTGGACTCCTGTGATGGTCAGAGTGAAGTCAGTCCCAGATCCACTGCCACTGAAACACTCTGGGACCCCAGTCTGTCGGGTAGTTGCTGCGTAGATGAGGAGTTTAGGAATTTCACCAGCTTTTTGTAAGTACCAGGTTAGTCTGTGCTTAGAATCATGTATGTTCACTGCAGGACTGGTCTTACAGCTCACAGTGACTGTCTGTCCAGGAAGAATTGATTTCACTGCTGGAGTCTGAGTTACAGTAACCTGTCCCCTGGACTCTGAAAATGAAAAATCAAATTACACATGAGGTGATGTAACAATGCAAGTGATCTCCAATATCTTACACTACGATTTAACTTTTGCTGATATGAAAATAATCCTTTTTGTATGCATAGCTGTCATCTTTATTAAATTTATTCTATCTTGATCCATGTGTTTTGCTGTAGTTTAACAGTCTACTAGCACTTGCTATAGCTGGGAAATATATGTTTGATTATTATTATTAAGCTTCTGCAGTAAGAAAGACTAATATTTTAATCCAGTGAGGTCAGTTGTCTCCTGTGGACATGATCCGCTATATATTTATTGTAAGGAGTGTCTATTCATTATAATGAGTACAGTGAATTGTCAAAGCCCAAAAACTCAGGCTGACAAAGAGCTGAGGTTTTCTCTGTGAAGCTGGTTTCTTCTGGAATGACAGGGTGCTGCAAGTCACATGTGGGTCAGCATCATGGATGATCTGCAACAGAGAACAGAGTTTCTGCTTAGGAGGAGTGCTTGTCAAAAGCTTCCTTTTTATATATCCTCCAAAACATACTGTATAGGCAAGGAAAAGACTAAACTGAGATTTCACAGAAAACACCGGTTTGTGTCACTGTCTATCTGTAGCAGACAGAGAAATCATTTATTTTTTAGTGAGAAATCAGCGTGGGAGGTGAAAGAAAAGAAAAATAATGCGCTCTGTAAAGCCAAGAGAAAAATAAAGAGAATACTGTCAGAGCAAGAAAGAAAAGAAGCATGTAAGAGCGTTTATATTTAGAAGCGCTCTGAGCGTTAACTAAAGGTGAGGCTTTTAGAGAAGAAAAATTCTGTTCCTCTGTGCCACACAGTTAATTGATATAATCAGGAGCTCAATTTTTTAAAGGTGAGCAGCAGTATTCTGAATCTTATTGAGTAATCTCCAATGAGCCAGTTTAAGATTATATACAGTATGCTCATGTATTTTAGTTTTAGTTTGAATCCAAACAGCTCAGTTCTGCAATTTGCTAGCAAGCACCAGAAAGAAGTGAATTACAATAATCAAGTTAGTTGTTCAGTATCCAGTTTGGAGAAGTGTACAGGTGTAGTATACACAATGATACACTGATGAAAGCATCTTTTCAACACTGCCATCAAGAGCATCAAATGCAAGGTCTGGGTCAGAATAATTCCAAGATTCCTCAGCTGAGGTTTTAGACTGATTCCAGGACTATCATTAGCCAAACACAGTTTAACACATTTGTAGAGTTGATACAGAGAACCTATCAACATAACACTGGTTTGTTATAGATCAGCTCTTAAGTTTTTTGTTGCATCTATTTTTAATGTCATTTAAACAGTGCATATAGGGCAAATAGTGTTTGACTAATGTCAGGTTTCATGAAATAAAAACAAAAAAATATGTAAAGAAAGGGGGTCACTATTACCTATGATAGAAAAGTAGAAATGTTATTAGCTTTTGCTGAACACAGCACTGTTGCTCCCACAATTCTCTAAGTTTCACATTCTCTAAGAAGGAAGTGTGACCTGGAAGTTTGCATTCTAACAGCAACTGAGAAATACATTTTGAATTTGAATTTTGAATTTGATCAGTGGATCAAACTTAAGAAACAGCATCTTTGTTGAAGGAAAAAGTCTTTAGTATTTTGTGCATTTTGAACTTGTTGCCCTGTAATTTCCCATTGGCCTTTACCAATCATGGCCTCCTAATAACCCCCATCTATGACCTGGCTTCATCACTCTGCTCTCCTCCCTTTTGATAGCTGGTGTGAGGTGAGTGTACTGACACACTATGGCTGCCGTCGCATCATCCAGGTGGGACTGCACATTGTTGGTGGTGGAGGGGATCCCCATGACCTGTAAACTTTGAGTGGAGTGCCCACAAAAGTGCTATATAAGTATAAGCAATTATTGTTATATATTATTATTACAGGAAGGAGCACGGAAGTGTGTTAAAACCTTGGTTCCATGTGTTCCATGCATCATCTCGGACAATCTGATAAACAACCTTTTTTTAGCTGATTAAGTAAGAAAAGAGTAAAGTTTATTTTGTTGCTGATGCTTGTTAGTAGCTCTGTTCTATAGAAAAGGTTGGTGGGATTCAAAATCTGGAGGAATACAGTCTCTGATGGACAAAACTCAGGAACTGTTACTGTTAATTTCCAATTCTGTCCCTGATGACAGTGGCTGGAAAATTAAAGTGTAACAGACAAAATATTTTGTTTAAAAAAACTGTAAGTATTTGATCAATGGTTAGTCATATTAGAAATTGCTATGTAATCAATAAATTAAAATAAGGCAACAAAACTAAGAGCTTACTTCTTCCTGCCGTTGTGCTCTCTCCAGAACCTTTTCTGAGGAATATGTCATATCATTCTCCAGGTCTGTGCAGAGCTGCAGAATAATCATTATCATCATTTATTTGCTCAATCATTTTTACATTGATATAACCCAAAACACTTTACATGAAATAAAAAGAAACAACTTGCACATACAATAGGATTTAGAAAAAAGCATAAAGCATAAAGATACAAATAATCGAAACTGTAGAAGTAAAACGTATTCAATAAGGAAATATTATAAAAATATCTTCAATATAAGAAAGAAAAGAGAGGGGAAGTAGCCCTTTACAGATAAGAGAATCCCACCAAGAAGTAAACATATAAAATGAGAACTTACTGTCGTGCCATTATGTCCCCCATCAGCGTCCCTTTTCTTCTGATTCCTTTTAGCTTAAATATACTAAAAAGTCATTTTATGTTGAGTAGCATCAGCAGTAATTCCAGTTATCTGTGGCTGAGAAAACTGGACACAGGGCTAGACACAGAGCAGGAGTGGAGCCTGGACAGAGGGCTGGACACAGGGATGGGTACAGGCTGGACTGGGGGTGGGTGAGGACAGGGAGGACCACCAGGGCTTGTAGCTCCATTGAACTCCAGAGCATGGGACTGAGCTGCCAGACCCCAGGCTGGTATGAGCACCACAATAGGACTGTGAGTCTAACACAGCAGCAGACTTCACTGCCAGCTCACACACCAGGGAGTCCAGGCTGAGGATGCAGCAGATTATTACTACCAACACTACCTCAGCAATACTCATGTGTTCACAGTGTTACACAGCCATACAAATACAAATCCTCCCTCATCAGGACTGCACAGCGACTGTAGTGGGACTGAAGTTGGGATCTACTGCAGGTTCACTTAGAAATGTACTTTGTTATTATATTAGATCATTTTAGACAATCTCAATAATGAACTTGAACTTGAACTTTATTGCCAAATGTAAACGGTACATATACTGGTACAATGGAATTCTAACTTACAGAAAGTCTCTCGATTGTAAAAAAAAGTGTAAAAAAGCTGCAGACAGTGCATCAGGAAAATATACAGACAGTAGACAATGTACAAGTAAACAAGTAAACAGTTTGAATTTAAACACTGCAGACATGTAAACAATGACTGCAGATGTGCAATAAATAAGACATTATAATGACGTAGATGGTGTAGGTGTGGTCAGAGGGGAATGGCCAGATGTGTTCACCAATCGCACTGCTTGTGGGTAGAAGCTATTGAGGAATCTGGTGGTAAGTGTCTGTATGCTCTTGTATCTCTTGCCTGAGGGCAGGTTGGTGAAGAGCTCATGCCCGGGATGGTGACTGTCCTCTGTGATGGCCAGAATTCTACCACGCCAGCAGTCCTCATAGAGTTGTTTAATCTCTGTGAGACCACTGCCGATGATCTTCTGGGCCACATTCAGCGCTCTCTGCAGTACCTTTCTCTCTCGAGAAGAGGTGTTGCCATACCACACGGTGATCTCGTTGGTGAGGACCCTCTCGATGGCGCAGTGGTAGAAGTTTACCAACACAGATACTGGCACCCCCCATTGTTTGAGGCACATCAGGACATAGAGGCACTGCTGAGACTTTTTCAAGATAGAGTCCATGATCACAGTCCAGGTTAGATCAATAGAAATGAAGCTGGTGACTGTTTCCACTTCTGTTCCATCAATACTGAGAGGCCTGTGAGTATGTGGCCTGTGTCTCCAAACATCCACTATTAGCTCTTTTGTTTTACTCACGTTCAAGTCCAGGTTATTGCTATGACACCACTTTAGCAGCTTTATGACTTCATCCCTGTAAGTGGACTCATCATCATCGCTGATCAGGCCTATTATAGTGGTGTCATCCACAAATTTAATGATGCAGTTGTTGCTGTGTCTTGCTGTGCAGTTGTGAGTGAACAGGGAGTACAACCTTGGACTCAGAAAGCAGCCTTGTGGGTTCCCAGTGCTCAGGGTGAGTGGTATTGATCTTTTATTACCTATCTGCACCACCTGAGGCATCTCGATTAAGAAGTCCAGCAGCCAGTTGCAGACAGAGTTGCACAGTCCTAGTCCCCTGAGCTTTGTCACCAGTTGGTGTATGCTGAATGGAATTGAATGCTGAATTGTAGTCCACAAACAGCATTCTCACATATAAAGATGTCCGTAAACAATGTGGTCATCTGGGCTGCACGTGTCCTAAGGACGCGGGGTGGTATCCCATCAGGCCCTGCAGATTTTCACCCTACTCCTGGCAATCTCCTGGCTGCAGCCCTTGTAGCCAGTGATCGGCCGTAATCCCTGCCACAACCTCCGGGTGTCAGCGCATTGCGTTTCAAACCACACTCTGTAGCTCTGTTTAGCGCGTTTCATGGCTTTCTCTAATGCATACTGTGATTCCCTGTACAGCTCTTTGTGCCCCGATTTGAATGCCGTGGATCTATCTTTTATTTTACTGTGAATGCCGTTGTTGAACCACAGTTTCTGATTGGGAAATGTTCTAATTTTCTTTTCTGGTACACTAATGTCGGTGCAATATATAATAAAGCTGGTGACTGCATCCGAATACTGATTTAAATCTGTGTCGGGAGCTCTTGATGCGTCCCAGTCTGAACAATCAAAGCAGTCTATTAACCTGCTTTCCCCTCCTCAGACCAACAGAGCACTGACCTGTTCGCAATGGGGGAGGTCTTCAGCTTCTGTTTGTAGTCCGAAAGCAACAGGAGAGAGATGTGGTCCGACTTGCCACGACCTGGTTTGGGAAGCGCTTTGTATGCTCCTTTTACTGTTCTGTAGCAGTGGTCCAAAATATTGCCTCTCTTTGTCAGTACAATGACATGCTGAATGTATTTTGGCATATTTATTGAACTAATATCAGTGTTTGTGTGCAGTTGATCCTTTATCTTTGCCTTTCACCCTCAGCAACTGCAGTAGGTCCCAGCTGCAGCAGTGCAGTTGCTGTGCAGTCTCGCTGAGGGAGGTTTTTGTACGAGTGTGTAATACTGTGTGAACACCCATTTACTGTTTGGGTAGTGTAAACTCTGACAGCCTGGACTCCTGTGATGGTCAGAGTGAAGTCAGTCCCAGATCCACTGCCACTGAAACGCTCTGGGATCCCAGTCTGACAGGTAGTTGCATCATAGATCAGGAGTTTAGGAGCTTCTCCAGCTTTCTGTTGATACCAGGCTAGTCTGTGTTTAGAGTCATATACAGTATGTACACTGCAGGACTGGTCCTACAGCTCACAGTGACTGTCTGTCCAGGGAGAACAGATTTCACTGCTGGAGTCTGAGTCACCGTAACCTGTCCACTGGAATCTGAAAACAAGACAAAACACAGTAAATGCAGATAATTGATAACTACAATGTTTGAAGACTTTTAGTAATTTCACACCTTTCTGTTCACCTGGTTCACCTAATTTGCGAGAATCTTAATTGATAAAAAATAAGTATTAAATAAGTATTAAATCATACCCTGAACAGTGATGAGAAGTGTCCAGATGAAGATGGTGATGAAAGTCATTGTTGCTGTGGGTTCTGTTGCCATGAAGGCCAGCTCTCAGTCATGAAGTGTTAAACTCACAGGGCTATAAACATTCCCAGAGCACTGAAGCATGTGCTGCCAATGCAAAGTGTCTCTTCTATGCAAATTGTCTTCCTGGGTTCAGCACCAATTGAAACCAGTCAGTGCTGGAAACACAGGCTTTGTGCTGTGTATTGTGACAGAACAAGATGAGCAGTTTTGCATGAACACTCCCAGGACAGCAGCACTAGACAGAGAACAGCTTTATAAGAAGTAGAAGATGAGACACAATCAGCAGAGCCCTTACTCCACTCGACACAGCATGAATGGAGAAGAGTGTGGAGAGTCTGGTTAAAGCAGCGCTTGGCTCTGTATGTTCAGACACATTACTGGTTGAGGTGATAGCATGTTTAACAGAGACTGAAGCATGCAAATATACAGTTATATTTCATAATACACAATCAGCTATCACTTAAAATCACATTTTACTTAAGCTAAACACTTAAATACAGGGTTCTTGTTTAATTAGAGCTCCATAGTTTACATCTCAGACAGAGTTTCGATCCGTCTTCCCTTAGCTGGCTAAGGGCTGGATTCACTAACCGGTGAGATTGCATTGTTGATCTTGTTGAACAATCATTCCTCTTACAGTTAACTAGTTATTGAAGTTAATTGACCAGTTTTGAAAATAGTGGGCTCCACCATTAGCATTGTCAGCTCTAAGCTTTAAGATCATACACATGCTGATCTCTGGGGTTACATTAGAAACTTTTTGACACACGCTTCTCTCTTGATTTACATTATGTACAGTTAGATACAATCTGAGAAACAGAATATCAGCTATATCACCCTATAAATCCTGGGAGAGAAAAAGGTTGCTGCTGGAAGAGGTGTTAGTGGGACCTATAGGAGGCACTAACTCTGCAGTCTGTGTGGGTCCTCATGCCCCAGTATAGTGATGGCTACACTATACTGTAAAAAGGTGCTGTCCATTGGATGAGACCTAAACTAGGTGCTGACTCTATATGGTCATTAAAAATCCCAGCATGTTTATTGAAAAGAGTAGGGGTGTTACCCCGGGAGTCCTAGCTAATTTTCCCCTGTCCTTTACCCATCATGGCCTTCTCCTGGGACACTTTGGCTGCTGTTGCATCATCCAGGTGGGGCTACACTCCAGTGGTGGTGGAGGGGAGACCCTATTCCCTGTGAAGCTTAGAGTGTCCAGAGAAGAGCCATATAAATTAAATATTAATAAATGGAGGTGGACCTTGTCAGGCAGCTCCAATCACCCTAAGGAAATCTGCAGCACAGCATTGTGTCCTGATACAGTCATGCCCTATACAGCTGGAGGGCGCTCTTTCTCTGTCCAGTCCCTAGTTTCCTGTGCTTTGCTTGTCCTTCTGGTGTGTCTCTGTCTGGGGCTATATATTTCTGGGATAGCTTTCCTCCTTGCTCAGCAATGAGGGTTTGGATGTCTTGAGACCTGACTAGCACCAGGTCATCTCCTTGGCGGCCTGAGGGCATAAGTTTCTACCTGACATTGCCTGACCAAC